AACCCAGATCCTAATAAAATTCATCCTGCTTACCACCATACACAGAAATTAGTTTATCTCACCATATATGAGCTACCTTTTCCTTTTTCACCTTTTGGTGAGGCAGGGACCCAAAAATTACATGTCAAACCCAGATCCTAATAAAATTCATCCTGCTTACCACCATACACAGAAATTAGTTTATCTCACCATATATGAGCTACCTTTTCCTTTTTCACCTTTTGGTGAGGCAGGGACCCAAAAATTACATGTCAAACCCAGATCCTAATAAAATTCATCCTGCTTACCACCATACACAGAAATTAGTTTATCTCACCATATATGAGCTACCTTTTCCTTTTTCACCTTTTGGTGAGGCAGGGACCCAAAAATTACATGTCAAACCCAGATCCTAATAAAATTCATCCTGCTTACCACCATACACAGAAATTAGTTTATCTCACCATATATGAGCTACCTTTTCCTTTTTCACCTTTTGGTGAGGCAGGGACCCAAAAATTACATGTCAAACCCAGATCCTAATAAAATTCATCCTGCTTACCACCATACACAGAAATTAGTTTATCTCACCATATATGAGCTACCTTTTCCTTTTTCACCTTTTGGTGAGGCAGGGACCCAAAAATTACATGTCAAACCCAGATCCTAATAAAATTCATCCTGCTTACCACCATACACAGAAATTAGTTTATCTCACCATATATGAGCTACCTTTTCCTTTTTCACCTTTTGGTGAGGCAGGGACCCAAAAATTACATGTCAAACCCAGATCCTAATAAAATTCATCCTGCTTACCACCATACACAGAAATTAGTTTATCTCACCATATATGAGCTACCTTTTCCTTTTTCACCTTTTGGTGAGGCAGGGACCCAAAAATTACATGTCAAACCCAGATCCTAATAAAATTCATCCTGCTTACCACCATACACAGAAATTAGTTTATCTCACCATATATGAGCTACCTTTTCCTTTTTCACCTTTTGGTGAGGCAGGGACCCAAAAATTACATGTCAAACCCAGATCCTAATAAAATTCATCCTGCTTACCACCATACACAGAAATTAGTTTATCTCACCATATATGAGCTACCTTTTCCTTTTTCACCTTTTGGTGAGGCAGGGACCCAAAAATTACATGTCAAACCCAGATCCTAATAAAATTCATCCTGCTTACCACCATACACAGAAATTAGTTTATCTCACCATATATGAGCTACCTTTTCCTTTTTCACCTTTTGGTGAGGCAGGGACCCAAAAATTACATGTCAAACCCAGATCCTAATAAAATTCATCCTGCTTACCACCATACACAGAAATTAGTTTATCTCACCATATATGAGCTACCTTTTCCTTTTTCACCTTTTGGTGAGGCAGGGACCCAAAAATTACATGTCAAACCCAGATCCTAATAAAATTCATCCTGCTTACCACCATACACAGAAATTAGTTTATCTCACCATATATGAGCTACCTTTTCCTTTTTCACCTTTTGGTGAGGCAGGGACCCAAAAATTACATGTCAAACCCAGATCCTAATAAAATTCATCCTGCTTACCACCATACACAGAAATTAGTTTATCTCACCATATATGAGCTACCTTTTCCTTTTTCACCTTTTGGTGAGGCAGGGACCCAAAAATTACATGTCAAACCCAGATCCTAATAAAATTCATCCTGCTTACCACCATACACAGAAATTAGTTTATCTCACCATATATGAGCTACCTTTTCCTTTTTCACCTTTTGGTGAGGCAGGGACCCAAAAATTACATGTCAAACCCAGATCCTAATAAAATTCATCCTGCTTACCACCATACACAGAAATTAGTTTATCTCACCATATATGAGCTACCTTTTCCTTTTTCACCTTTTGGTGAGGCAGGGACCCAAAAATTACATGTCAAACCCAGATCCTAATAAAATTCATCCTGCTTACCACCATACACAGAAATTAGTTTATCTCACCATATATGAGCTACCTTTTCCTTTTTCACCTTTTGGTGAGGCAGGGACCCAAAAATTACATGTCAAACCCAGATCCTAATAAAATTCATCCTGCTTACCACCATACACAGAAATTAGTTTATCTCACCATATATGAGCTACCTTTTCCTTTTTCACCTTTTGGTGAGGCAGGGACCCAAAAATTACATGTCAAACCCAGATCCTAATAAAATTCATCCTGCTTACCACCATACACAGAAATTAGTTTATCTCACCATATATGAGCTACCTTTTCCTTTTTCACCTTTTGGTGAGGCAGGGACCCAAAAATTACATGTCAAACCCAGATCCTAATAAAATTCATCCTGCTTACCACCATACACAGAAATTAGTTTATCTCACCATATATGAGCTACCTTTTCCTTTTTCACCTTTTGGTGAGGCAGGGACCCAAAAATTACATGTCAAACCCAGATCCTAATAAAATTCATCCTGCTTACCACCATACACAGAAATTAGTTTATCTCACCATATATGAGCTACCTTTTCCTTTTTCACCTTTTGGTGAGGCAGGGACCCAAAAATTACATGTCAAACCCAGATCCTAATAAAATTCATCCTGCTTACCACCATACACAGAAATTAGTTTATCTCACCATATATGAGCTACCTTTTCCTTTTTCACCTTTTGGTGAGGCAGGGACCCAAAAATTACATGTCAAACCCAGATCCTAATAAAATTCATCCTGCTTACCACCATACACAGAAATTAGTTTATCTCACCATATATGAGCTACCTTTTCCTTTTTCACCTTTTGGTGAGGCAGGGACCCAAAAATTACATGTCAAACCCAGATCCTAATAAAATTCATCCTGCTTACCACCATACACAGAAATTAGTTTATCTCACCATATATGAGCTACCTTTTCCTTTTTCACCTTTTGGTGAGGCAGGGACCCAAAAATTACATGTCAAACCCAGATCCTAATAAAATTCATCCTGCTTACCACCATACACAGAAATTAGTTTATCTCACCATATATGAGCTACCTTTTCCTTTTTCACCTTTTGGTGAGGCAGGGACCCAAAAATTACATGTCAAACCCAGATCCTAATAAAATTCATCCTGCTTACCACCATACACAGAAATTAGTTTATCTCACCATATATGAGCTACCTTTTCCTTTTTCACCTTTTGGTGAGGCAGGGACCCAAAAATTACATGTCAAACCCAGATCCTAATAAAATTCATCCTGCTTACCACCATACACAGAAATTAGTTTATCTCACCATATATGAGCTACCTTTTCCTTTTTCACCTTTTGGTGAGGCAGGGACCCAAAAATTACATGTCAAACCCAGATCCTAATAAAATTCATCCTGCTTACCACCATACACAGAAATTAGTTTATCTCACCATATATGAGCTACCTTTTCCTTTTTCACCTTTTGGTGAGGCAGGGACCCAAAAATTACATGTCAAACCCAGATCCTAATAAAATTCATCCTGCTTACCACCATAGTTGTCAAGGCGATAAGGCGTTCTTGGAGAGTTGCCTCGCCCAAATGCCTACATATTTAAATGTAAGACACCGCACAATATTTTACATTTTTATTTTATGTTTAATAGTGGTACAATAAATATTGTTAGACTAAATTATTCATATTGTGGGTTTATAGTTTTAATATTGTTGTTCTTATACCAGTTTCTTTTTGTTATTTTCTTGTTTGTTTGGATTCAATTGAGACACCAGTCAGTTACATAGTCTTGAACCCTTTAGGACTGTAAACCTGAATTGGTAAGTAACAATTAACTTGAAGATTTTATCCAATTGACACACAAGAACAATCAATAGGACTTCTTCTTCTTCTTCCTAGGACCAAAACAAGGGCTCAACCCTTATGTTTTGTATGTTACTTTCCTTTCTTATTTTTCAATTCATAAATATGTTGACTTTCTATCTATTGATATGGGGTTTATACTTATTTCATGAGAACTGGTGATTATTAGTTAAGATCACTACTTATTACAATAAAACCTCGGGATCCACCTTATGATTTATATATGTATTTTTTATTTTAAAAAACTCATCCCTTAGGCGATGCCTAGGCTAGGCAACAAGGCACTCCCCTATCGCCTAGCTTTGCCTTGGCACCTTGAAAATTATGTTTACCACATTTGTAGCAAACTCATCTGTAATATTTTGACATTTCAAGGCATAAATTTTAGTGTATCAGCAATTCCATGGATTCTTTTCTTGTCAAATGATGATGTGCTCTTTCCCTTCCCCTTTTGTTTTCCTTCTGAAAATCTAATGCTCTCTACCTAATGGCCAATGGCCCCTCTAACATATAATAGGTTGACAAGAGTAATCTATTCTTAATAATAAGAAAGGGACAAATCCTATTTATGAATTAGAAGATAAGGCTGGTCAGCAAGAGCTATATAATCAACTATAAATAAAAAGTACAGTAAAACAAATTGAATCAAACAATCCCAAATAATGTCAAAATTCACTGCTTCAGTAAAAAGGATTATATACATAAAAATTGAAAGATTTATCTCATATGACATTATATCATTTCTTTTCTCAATCGAATATTTTGTTTGGTCAACCAGCAAAAAACATTATTCAGTGATGCAACAAAAGCCGATTTCTGTACCTTGACTTAGGCATCAATTTCCATTTATTTGGAACATAGTTGAGTTGAGGTGAAAGGCTTAAACCATCAAAAATGTTCATGACCATAGATATTAGATTGATTAGGAATCAAAAGACCAGAGGGTGAGACTGCTAACCAAATTATTATGTTCACTGTTGCCAACAAAAACCATTTTTTATTAGATTACATTGTTAAAATATTAGTTCAAAGACACACTGACACAGCACATCCAATAGACAGATACAGGTTCATTGACTCATAGAGAGAGATGACTAGATGAAACTATGGAGGGATTATATCCTCATTCTCACTTTATGCTCCCTCTTAAAATCTTTATCTACTGCAAAGGTTCATTGAGTTCTTTGACAGGACAAAAGACAGAAACTTACCTTGGATTATAGTAGTCCTTTCCAGGCCATATCAAAGGAGGGTAATCGCCCACTTTATGTTCGACAGTATCATAGCGGCCAAAGCACAGATCTAGTCCTCCAATGAAGCAGACCCGATAATCAATAATAACAAGTTTTTCATGGTGAGACCTATACATTACCAGAAATAACAATCCAATAGGAATACTGATTAACCAGAGAAATGATGGAACTCCTGATTCCAATATTAATGACACTTAAATAAAATTCACAATAAACTGCATACCACAGATAAACACCAGCTGAGAAATGGTCTGGAGAGCGTAATACTCTCACATTCTCATGAATGTTAAGAAGTTTTTGCTTGCTATAAACACTGTTAATCTTCAAAGCAAGAGCAACTTCTTTGTATAGAAGAACATAAATCTGCAAACAGTCATAAACTAAGTTGAAATGAAAGCATGGCAGAATCCATATCAGAAGTAGTACTATAAATAGCTGTGACATCTTGCTCTAGTAGAGTCTTTCAGCCAATAGATCAAAGCTTAGTCAATAAAAGAGACAGGGTAGTAATCAGTGAGTAGGGATCTCCTGCCAACAAAACACATTCCAACATCCTTCCAACATGATCTGATACCACACATCTCACCATGAGACTTGGACCCACCGTGTATAAGATGTGTGATGTCAGATTATGTTGGAAGGGTGTTGAAACATATTTTGTTGGCAGGAGATCTGGACTCATAATCAGAAAGAAACCAAGGTAGTGGAGTAAGAATAACAGACAAGCATCATGGACGAGTAGAAAATATTAGCAAGATTAAGTCCATTTTTATCTGAAAAGCTAGCTATCCTGACTCTAGAAGTTCAGCTTGACAGGGAGAACATGGAGGAAAATGAAAACATACTCTTTTTACTAGGTAAGGTTATCTGATGCAAGTGCTTATAAGAAAATCTAAAGCAAGTCTCAAAGAAAGAAATTGAAGAAAAAGTGTTAAATAGTAGATCTGCAGATGCATTGTCAATGGGAAAAGAAGTGACTGTTTGACCACTCCAATACTGTAGAATTTCAACTCAATCCAACATGTGGAAGTTTGAAAAGGAAGTTTCTATTTTTTTTTTTGTTTGGATATACAAGAGCAAGAGTCCAAAAATGAGTTGGAAGTTGCTACTTTGGGTCTATAAAAGAGTGTCAACAGGTCTTATAGAGAGCAATCTATTTTATTCAATTTTTCCCTACTAAGGGCTGAATAAAGAATTGTTTTTCTGTTTCTACCATAGCGAGCAGCTATAGTATAACTTATTCTTGCTTCCTCTTCTATTTTTCTTTTTTTTTTCTTGTTAATACTTGTGGCTGAAGCCTATTGTTATATGTTGGAAATTTTGTGCTTCGTCATATGAAATTGTTTCGAATGCTGCTACAGTAACCCGAACCAGGAAGAGAAGAAAGAAGAAGAGGAAGAAGAAGAGAAGAAGAAGAAGGAAAAGAAGGGTCAGTCGAAATCTGATGGTTATACCATTCAGTCGACCCCCTTAATAGTCATTTAGATTCTAATGACATTTACAAAGACTAAACTGCCCTTACTTAAGTRTGGGRCAGAGTGTCTCTAATAAAACTGCCACATAAGCAAATCACTTAACAAACATAAGAGGACTAAACTACCCCTATTCGGCTCACTTTAACAGGAATGAACTTCTCAACCTATACATTATCAAGGAGAGCATATATAAGTCCTGGTCTAAAGTTCTATCATGAGATAGATAAGAAGTGTGTATAGGACAAGAGGCCCTGGTCCATTAAGGGCTTTCCACTTATCCTGAAAGAATTGAGCCCAAATATTCTTGTGAGAAAACTTGAGTTTGAAACATGTGCTTTTAGGATACATATTCTTGATCTTCCAATTGAGTATATGACATATCAACTGGCTAACCATAGAGGTGGTCCAAGTTAGATGATTCAGTGACAGGATGTGGTTCAATTTCTAGCATGAAAGATTGCCAGTGGTTTGATATTCCTTTGGAATTATCAGTCATGAAGAATCCAGGTTTATTAATTACAACCTTGAAGAGAAACTGCAAAGCAAACATTAAAAGTTTCCTAATAAAATGAACAAGGAACCAAGACCAAATATGTTCAGTCCATGTTTTATGCTTCAGCTTTGAATGGACATGACAGAATTGGCTTTAAATCTTCAGGCATGTCACAGATCACAGGAAGATAATAATAGGGAATCATGTAAGTGTAGACAGTCCTAGTAGTTTGGTACTTTATTGGTTTATTGTTCTTGGTCGTTGTAATATGATAGGTTGTAATAATGGGTATCATGTATGTATCTTATTTTCTTGTTTTTTTTTTCCAGTTTGCTCTCATAATAAGGGGCATTTGTGTAATTGTACATATTCTTTGCCAAATTCAATAAAATATGGATCTTTGGGGGTGGTAGCATTCATTCGGATACACCTGTAAGTGTTCTACTTCCTTTGCTGCATCCCTGAAACCCTAAAGTTGGTGACAATAAGATGCAAAGGGAGGTTTCCTTTGGTGCAGAAAGCTCTCCATGGAAGGAAACAATGGTTAGAATTTAGAAACACTTCAATGCAAAGTTGGCCGACATCAAACAAAAAGCTAGCATGCAGCAGATGGGCAGTGGAGACTTAGAGAAAACCATTGTGGTTATAAGAACCAAACCCAATAAAAAAATGATATGGCAAATTCTGAGAAGCACAGAGTCAAGCATGGCTAAACCTAAGATATTCCCAACAATGCAAAGTGTGTTGTGAGGTCAAAAAGGCCTTTGATTTCAACAGTATAAGTTCGAGACTGGCCTTGGATTTGGGTCAACAGGTCAGAGAAGAAAGCAAACACTAGATGCCGAGTACCAAATTAAGATTTCCTGTGCCAATATGAATAGTAGTTTAGAACAGGTACAATACTTTCCTCTCATTACATGGATGCAATCTACTTGTAAGCTTGCTAAAGTGGCAAAAGAAAAATTTGAGTTAGAACAAAGTAGGATATATTGATAAAGGGACTAGTAATAATACAAAGAAAGGTAAAATGTACCAAAAACCTAGATTGATAAAGGGACTAGTAATAGGGTTCAGGAGGTTGCCCCTCAACAATCCCAGTGAACCAAATGAGGATTTTGGCATGTAATTGTTAAGGGTTAGGTGCACCTAGAACAGTTTGTTAGTTGCCACCAATAGATATGTTTTATTATGGAAAGTAAAATAAATAGTAACAATATCAAGATGACCTTTAACCTATCATTCAATTAGCAAGTTTTAGTCATAAGGACCAAGGTTTGTCTGGAATCTCCTCTTGTGGAACTCTAATGTGGTGGTATTAGTTGTACAATGCTGTCCATATGGTATCTATCACCTCTATCTAGAGTTTCTGGTATGCAATGAAGAAGATGAACACCTTAGGGGGTGTATTCAAATAGATGTCCCCACCGTGAAAGAGCCAAGTTTTATTGAATAGGGAAAATATATTTTCAATTATGTAAGTACCCCTGATTATGTGAGCAAACTAAAACTTACATGGTTCCCTATATTACAATGAGACCAAGCACACTAAGCCAATAAAATACAAGAAGAAAATAGGACAACTCTCTACACTCCCCCTCAAATTGATGCGGGGACAACATCAGTTTGCTAACAAAGAACACATTGGGCACACAAGTCCTGAATTTAGTGAAGATATCAAAAAGCTGAAGCTTAGAGGAAACATGTGGAAAAGTGATTTTGTTTGCAACAAACTAACCCCAAATGAAATGACAATCAACCTCGATGTGTTTGGTGCACTTATGTAAGACAATATTGGAGGAAAAGTGAATTGCACTTGTGTTATTAGTATATAATGGTGTGGGAGTATGGGGGAAAATGAAGTTCTTGAAGGAGGTCTTGCAACCAAATGATCTCACTGCAGGTAGCAGACATAGCTTGACACTCAGCCTTGACAGTTGATTTTGTCATAGTAATCTGTTGCTTATACTTCCACGAAATAAAAGAATTATCATGGAAGATGCACCGCCTAGTTGTAGAATGTATCATGGAAGATGCATTGTACTTGCTAGAGTCGGCTGAATAGGGGTAGTCTTGTCTTTTCATTCTATTTTAAGTTGTGCTTTGTCAATTCTGTTTTGTTTTAAGTTACATGTCCCATCCTTAAGTAGGGGCATATTAGACATTGTAACATTCATTAATATTAATACATAGTAGTGGTCAGCTGGGAGAAGATTAGACTCTCTAGTTTGACAGATTTCTCTTCTTCTTCTTCTTCTTCTTCTTCTTCTTCTTTCTCCCTCTCTTTCTCTGAACTATCAAAACATGGTGTCAGAGCCTTAAACAAGAGGAAACAAGGCTGCGATCTCAAGTTCCTGGACCTGCGATCAACCCTTTTTTTTCTTCTCCTTTTCTGGGCTGCAATCTGGGTTACAAGTAGTAGGAAGTTGCGGCAACCTATTCTGGTAATCCCAGGACTGCTGCAATCTCAGTTACAGGTGTTTGGAAGGTGCGGCAGCCCTAGGATTGTGTTTCTAAAACTGCTGTCACCATGAGTGACAGCCCTAGTGGTCATGCGGTGGTGTTTATAGTGGTCTAAACCCTCTACTGAGCAGCTTCAAGAGGGGTTTTGGTGGTTGATTAACAGTATTGGTGCTGGAAATAATTGGGACTTTTTTTGATGAAGAAGATGGCCGAATGTGTCTGAATGGTGGTACCCTATATGTATTTTCATAGTGGCTGGTTGGGAGAGTGCTGTAAGGTGGTGTGTGGACTGCTGCAGTGTTGAAATAACAGTAGTAATCTTTTGTTTAGTTGATAATTCAGTATTAGGAAGGGACACTGATAGTTCCTTGTGTTAAGAACATGATGGCAGCAACTGGAGATATTGGTGGTGATCAGAAATCTAATGTGATGATTCCCCCAGACTATCTAAGTGTGCAGATCTCATTAATTAAACTTAATGGTGAAAATTATGTGCCATGGGCCAAGTTGGTGGAGGTGTTTCTCAAGGCCAAGAAGAAGGTGAAACATGTGAAGGAGGATAAACCATCAACTGAATCTCCAGGGTTTGATGGGGAACAAGAGGAAGCCCAAATTATGACATGGTTATGGAACAATATGGAACCCAAGATAAGTGTAAACTTTATGTTCTTGGATACAACCAAGGAAATATGGGAACATGCCAAGAAACTTTATTTTGGACAGGGTAGTACTACAAGAGTATATCATCTCTATCAGGAGTATTTTAATTTGTAGCAGGGAAATCAGACTCTTGAAGAGTATTATGCCAATATGAGGAATCTCAAGAATGAATTCAATGTCTATCATCCCCCTACTTCAGATGTCAAAATTCACTAACAACAGAGGGAGCAACTTGAAGTAACCAGGTTTCTTGGTGGGGCTGGAATCAGAATATT